TGGGGAAAAGACTGGAAATAAATTATTTGCATTGATATGTCCTGATGACAATTTTAAAGAAAACAAAAAAAGTGTTTGCATAAATTGAAGAATTATTTCCTATGTTGTGATTGAGAGGTTATGTTGGGGGAGGGGGGCGATGACAACTTCCTCATTGGCTCAAGGGGGCGATTCGTTCAAAAAGGTTAAGAACCACTGCCCTAGACTATGAGCTAGACCAGACATGTCAAACTTGCAACGTCACGTGACGTCACGCAACATATCGGGACTGTTTTGCCATTGCCGGCAATGGGGTGGGTGTGATGCGTCCAGCCCACAGGCCAGCAGTTTGACAGCCCTGAACCAGACTATCAGAGACTAGGTTTACTCATGAGCAAATATATTAATAAATAAAATATGAATCTACTTTTGAACCTAATTCCAATTATATAAAAATCCTCTCTTTAATGTAAAACACAGTTGTAAGTAATGTAAAAAATATATAACATTTTGATAATAAATAGATTGTCATTACCAGGCAAGTACAAATAATAGTCAGTTAAATGTCACATCTACAGCATTCTGTGTTCTGTGTCTTTCCAAATTCAGTGTTCTTTTCTCTAAAATTTTCTGCTTTGAAAATACTTTATTGAGCTCTGGTAGTGCAGTGGTTAGAATGCAGTATTGCAGGCAAATTCTGCCCACAGCCTGGAGTTCGATCCTGACAGGGCTCAAGGTTGACTCAGCCTTTCATCCTTCCTGAGGTTGGTAAAATGAGGACCCAGATTATTGGGGGCAATATGCTGACATTATAAACTGCCCAGAGAGTGTTGTAAAGCAATATGGGGTGGTATATATGTCTAAGTGCTATTGCTATTGCTACTGTTTCTTGGATCTTCCTTTGGTATTTATTGATTTCAAATCCTATGATTTTATGTGTCCCTAGTGTGGTATGTACCAACACGTACGTTCAGTCTATAGCAAATCTCTATTTTAGGGTACAATAGCATGAAATTCTGCAGTTGCTATAAACTTGGAGGAGTTTCTTTGGGTGCTTAGCTTCATGAACAAAAGCTTCTGGTAGAATTAAATAGGAAAGCAATAGAAGGCTATTGGATCTGACCTGCAAAAATCAGACAACCACTAGATGGCAATTGATAGATCTAGTAACCCTAGGAAACAGCAAACATTTCGATATTGTTCTCAAGAAAACTACATGGAAATGTCCATAAGTCACTGTGAATCATGCTGATATAAATTCTTGATGTAACCAAGCAAGATGCATGTGGTCTAATTCTTGCTCATCCATGAATTTTGGCCTTTAATCAATGTAATGGCTTTCCTTTAATATCTCAAGCTTGTGAAGTTCTTTGTCAAATGCAACATAAGGAAAATTTCATTTAAGCGTTAAATCTGATTTCTCCTATAAGCTACATTCCCTGATATGATACATTTTTTACTTACTGAGTTGCCTTTCAAATTTAATCTGTCTGTTTCTTCCTTTCCTATAAGAAAGTTTTCTTTTGTAGAATATTGTAACTTAGAGTATAGAATATTGGCATATATTGTTGATACATATTCTACAAATTTTAGTGATTTGTGCTTGTTCTATACTTTAAAGGATGCAGTACTTTGCTTTGCATGTGGTGCAGAAAATCCACTTCACATTAAAGAATGTATGATCTGTGAGAGCAAACTTTCTGAAGCTCAGATGGTAAGAATTTCTATAATATAAACAATCTCTGAACATATTTTTTCAACTTAGTACTATCTAACAAAAAGACAGTCAACTCTGGTTATATGAGATACCAACAATTATTTTAAAGTGTTCCCATGTAATATACCTCAGAGGGGAGCAACCATAGCCCCAGGACCATAAGTAACCCTTTTGTTGAAGCTCCTAAAACTCCTTACAACAAACATCCTGGTGCAAATCTCAAAATGGATTTGTCACAGTTAAAAAGTGACCCACCGGCACCAAAAGCAGGAAAAGTCTTAATTCCACCCATATGCATGACACGGCACCACACAGTTGCAATCATTGTTTCACCTACTGTGGCATTGGACTTACCAAACAAGTATTAAGTCCTTTAGCATCACAAATATTGATCACATGAATACGGTGAGAGCTTTTGTATCCACATTATTGTCTATTTATTTACTGCAAATAAATATGTGGCTTCATTACTCTAGGGAATTCATAATAGTATAGAAAAACATTTCCATTTCCATAAATTCTAGTTAAAGTACCATAACAAATATAAAAATACTAAAAATCATATTATTGAAGCTTACAAAAAGGCAATTCAAAGAGAACCACTTGACTTCAAATATCCAGCAAAATAGAACTCCTTTTACTCCTTTATTCAATAGTGTGGAGCCCAAACTTGACTTTTGTAAGGCAAGGTGTTTCAACCACTTTGGTTTAATGGTAAAGGTACCAGGCTAGAAAGCAGGAGATTGTGAGTTCAAGTCCTACCTTAGCCATGAAAGCCAGCTGGGTGATTTTAGGCCAATTTCTCTCAGCCCAATTCGCCTCACTGGGTTGTGGTTATGGGGAAAATAGAAGGATATATTTTCTGTCTTGAATTATTTATAAAGATAACAGAATAACAGAGTTGGAAGGGACCTTGCTGTAGATGTAGTTCCATTGAGAAATACAGTATATATTGCAGTTTTTCAGGCAGTTTATGAATTCATCTGGTAGTGATGTGGTCTATCCCATATTTTTCTATCTTATTAAGAGATAGGTTGTGGTTTACTTTGTCAAATTCCTTACAGAAGTCTAGGTATATAATGTCCACATCATTTCACTAGTCCACTGATTTAGTCACTTGGTCAAAGAATGCAATAAGATTTCTTCAGCGTAATCTGTTTATGACAAACCCATGTTGGCTCCTAGTAATAGCTTTGCTTCCTTCTATGTGTTCGCAGATCTGTTCTTTCATTATTTTTTCCAGGATCTTACTAAGTAGTGATGTCAGGCTGATTGATCTGTAGTTTTCTGGATCCTTTTTTTCATTTTTGAAGATGGAAATCACATCAGTTCTTTTCCAGTCTTCTGGTGGTTCCCTGGTGTTCCAGGATCTTTGAAAAATATGATTCTGTGGTTCAAGATCACATCTGCTAGCTCCTTTAGAACTTTGAGAAGAACTGGTGATTTGAACTTGTCTAGGGGGATGAATGTTGTCTTAACATTTTCTTGCCTATTTTGACCTATATTTCCAGTCTGTCATTTATGGTTCTGCTTTGGTACATTGGGCAATTTTTTTTCCTTTTTGTGTGAAGATAGGTGCAAGGAATGAATTAAACAGTTCTGCTTTCTCCTTGTTGCCCATCACTTCCTTGCCATCTTCTCCCATTGGTGGACAATTATTTCCTTGATTTTTAATATGTTGAAAGAAACTTTTTAAAAGTTATTTTTGACATTTGTTTTACTTCATTCTGAGCCTTAGCTTTTCTGACTTCATCTTTGCAAATTTGGACTATTTGTTGGTATTCTGCCTTAGTTATATGTCCCTCTTTTCATTTTTTGTACTTATCCTTTTTGTCTTTTAATTTATCAGAGCGTTCTTTGTACAAACATACTGGTTTGTTCTTGGACTTCTTGTTTTTCTTTTTCAGTGGTATTGAGTTGGACTGGGCTTTTATAATCATACTTTTCAGAGTTTCTCAAGCTTCTTGTTTTTTTCTTTAAGATTTTAATCCATTGAACCCTTCCCAAGATCCCTCAAGGTTTGTTGAAATCAGCTTTTTTAAAGTCCAAGACACTGGTTTGATTATGTTCTATTGCTTGTGTTTGAATTATTTTGAATTCCAATATGACATGGTCACTCTCCCACAAAGTTTCTGCAACTTCAATCCCTCTATCACTTCTTCCCTATTAGTAAGAATTAGGTGCAGTACAGCTGTCCCTCCTCTACCTTTTAGATGACAAAGTTGTCAACTAGGTTGGTCAGGAACTTGTTTGATCTCCCACTTGATGTAGAGTTTATCTCCCAGTTGATGTCAGGGAAGTTAAAAGTCCCCCATTACTACTGTGGTGTGTTTCCTACATACATTTGTTAACTGGTTAGCAAACAGTTCATCTATTTCTTCTGCTTGGATGGCCTGTAGTATATACCTATGGCAATGTCATTCTTTTTTCCTTTTATATTGACCCATATGCATTCTAGGAGGCTTCCATCTTTGGTGTCAAGCTTGAAGCATGTGCACATTATTGCCACCCTTGCTGCTTCTTACTTAACCAATGCAATAGGGGGGAGGGGGGAAATGGAATGCAGACTCCAAACAACAAGAAATCCAATCAGAAGGACTTCCGTTGGTGACGTCAGGACGGTGCGGAGGCAAGAGGACAGTCTCTGTCCCCTAACTCTGATCTTTCTATGTTTGGAGACCCTTCGGGGGCGTAGAGAGCCTGGAGGGCTACGCGTGAGAAAGGGTGAAGCCGGAAGAGTAACGAGGTGAGAGGCGATCACCCATTATGATGAAGGAAACCCCTAAATCCACCGTGGAAATTTCTGCCATCAACAGATGGCGGATCTGAGGCCCTGACAAAATCACAGAGGATGCGGAAGCAAAGAGAAACTTAACAGACTGTGTTAATGAGTGAGTCAAAATAGTTCAAAATATTTCTAAGGAATAATAGAAAAGTCTAAAAAGATCTACTTGTCTATTAGGATGGGTGTTGAAAGGAAGCTCAACTGGTGAGGAAATCCTCAATGCAAGCGGCAATCTGGCGGGAAGAGCCGTGAATTGACAGATTTAACAACCAAAGGATTAACAGGAGGGAGACATAAAGGAAGGAAAGACCTTGTGGTAAACATTTTAGCGCAAATACGAGGAAGACGGTGGAGGATTAAGGAGAAGAAGTTGAGAGATGGCAGCGAAGGCGGAGTTGGTGGAGCCTATGGGACGAGAGAAGTGAAGGGAGAAGATCGATAAGCAAGCAGCTGGGAAGGAAGAGAAAATGGCGATTTAGGAGAAATGGAGGAGTGAATTCATTGTGGAGCATTAAAGATTTTTGGAGAAAGTGGTTGGAGAAGAAAGTTGGAGATAGACCTGAACATGGAGAGGATTCGGAAAGCCAAGGAGACGACGAGAGTACGTGTTTAAGTGTGAAAGTGAGTGGAGCGTAGTGAAAATCCGGAAGGTGAAAGAGACGGCGAGAGGATGTGACAGGAGACGAAAGCGAAAGGAACAGACTGACAGCGAGAGAGACGAGATCAGAAGGAAAATCCGGAGCTTAACAGAGACGATGCCATTAGTTACAAGAGAAAGTGAATAGGATTGAAGGGGGGATATGGTGACGAGCACGAGAGGAAGGGAAGGAGACGATGAGAGGACGGTGCACGACGTTGAAAGTGACAGGAACGTGAACGAGGCTTGGAAGGCAAAGGAGACGACGAGAGGACGAGATAAAAAGATAAGAACGGACTAACGATTAATAATACACGATTGGAGAAGTAATTTGGACTTTTAGAAAGACTGTGTGATAAGTAAGAAAAAGGAAAGAAAGTGAAGAGGGTTGGAGAAGGTAAGGAGAGATTTGGGGAATTGTGGCAGTGGAGGTAGTTTCAGAGGAGTTGAGGAAGGAAAACGAAGAATTAGAAGTTTAGAGTTAAAATAAAGTTAAATAAGCTGTTGGCTAAATAGAGTGATAGAAAATATTAGAGAAACAAGTGACAACTATGACAACACTGAGGACAGGAAAAAAAACGGTGTCAAGCCTAGCACTGACACCCTCATCCCCACCTGGTCAAAAGACATTAGAAGGAATGTTTGGTACAGAAAAACAGAGTTAATAGTTAATATGCAGACCATGCAGACAACACTACTTACTATCCAAGAAACAATGCTAAAAATGCAGGAGACAATATCTAAGAATCACATAGAAATGAGAGGGGATATGAATAAATTGGATAATAGAATTGAGATGATTCAACAAACGATTGAAAAAAATGAAGCAAGAATTCAGACAGTAGAAGTAGGGTTGGATAAAGTAGGGGAAAAAGTTGATACATTAGATAAAGAAATGTTGGCAACTAATAAAAAAATGGCGGAATCGATCATCCATCTAGAAATGGATAGGGCAGCATTCTACCTACGATTCCAAAATGTGGTAGAGGAGAAGGAAGAGGATTTGGGTGCTATCATGGTGGAATTGATTGCTGAGGCCCTATAAAGGGACAAACAAGAGATATTGATAGAGATAGATGAGGCGTACAGAATTCACACAAATTATGCCAGACGCAACAGACTTCCACGAGAAGTACATATTAGATTCGCTAGGAAAAAGGTGAGAGATATAATCTACAAAATTACAAGAGAGGATCCAATGATTTATAAAGGTGTGCAAATACAAACTTTAAAACAGGTACCAAAGAAAATAAGGGAACAGAGAAGGGATTATAGATCCCTCAGTGCGTATTTAATTAAAAGAAGCATACCATTCAGATGGTTAATCCCAGAAGGGATGTTGATATCATGGAGGGAGAGAAGGATTAAGATAGACAGCCTAGAGAAGGCACAAGAATTTTATGAACAAGTGGAAGGAGTGGAGGAAGAGAATAGCAGCAAGGAAGAATTGGAATCCAAAAGCCAGGAAGACCAACAGCAGGACGTAAGGGAAATAGAACGAGGGATAGAAAGCAAGGAAGAAAAAGGACAGAAGAAAGAAAGAGGAGTAGGTCCAAGAACAAGACAAACACACAA